CATGTTTATATTTTTTTGTACCATCCAAAGGGGCAGTGTACAAGATAAGGTAGAATTCGATCCCTTCCGCATAACAGCATTGAGAATGATGGAACAGTTTTTATGCATTAGAATATGAGCTTTTAATAATCACTTTTTGGCCATTTTATTAGAATTGGTAAAAATCCCTTGCGTAAAGGACATTAAATTGAAGAAATTCACAAATTCGTCATTGTTGAGATGATAAGTATGTTAAGGCCAAATCTTGATTTTCGAAGGCTCATAGACTAATGAATCACAATGAATTTTTTGAAACTACCAATGGGCAGACAATTCCATCGATTTTGATAAATCATCAATTTCATTCATTCCATTTTTACATCTAAGATGATTGGGTCGATTTTTTTTATAGATGATTCGATCCATACAATTTTGCTCATTTTTAATTTCAATTTCATTTTGGATAAATCATAAATTTCATTCTGTTCATTTGGCCAGTGATCCAGTCGATTTTTGAATAAACTGTCAATTCTATCCAATCCATTTGACCAATTTATTCATTTTTAGGACAATACAATCAATTTTGAATAAATCATCAATTCCATCCAATTCATTATTCATTTAGTCAACTTTATTTTTTTTGAATAAATTCTCAATTTCATCCAATCCATTGGATCAGTTTTATTCACTTTAGGATAATCCAATCAATTTTTAAACTAACCATCAATTTCATTCGATTCATTTGACCCGTTTATTCTTTTTTTTAAAAAAGTTTTGATCTATGGTTCACGAATAAACTAGTCGAGACATTCCAATCCTTTCAAAAATAAGTTTTTCACACTAAGTTGATTTTTAATATCACTTTATGTGTCAATCAAAACAATCAATCCATTCGAACTTCGTCCTCATTTCCGAAAAAAAAGATCCAATTAGTCCAATTTTTTTCAAATGCTCTTCAATTGAATCTCAATAAATCGATCGGATCCATCAGATATTGTATGGTGCCTACTCCAGAGGATTGCATTTTTCATGCTAGGCCAACCCTTGGCATAAAAGGGCTCTCCCATAGGACATGCATACCAATTTTACAGTTTTGATTACTAATTCTGGGTATTTTTCTTTTAATTTTTCCCCCTCCCCTGCATTTATAAAAGTTGTTTTAACAAGGTAAAAAAATATTTTTCCTATATCTGATAATATTTTGATCTGATAAATTTTGAAAATTACAAGTGTTACTTGATTTTGGATAGATCCTACAATGAAAAAAAAAAATTTAATTTTTTTAAAAAAAATGATGAATGAAAAATTCCATCTGAAAAATGCCAGTCTAGAGCATCTTAAAAATCTTTTGATTCATTGTTTCTAATACATTTTGTCTCAAAAGATAGAAAGAGAAAAGTGTTTATATATTTGAAAGTGTATTCTTTAAAGATTTTTATTTTCTCACATGTATTATATTTGAGAAAAAAAAATTTTCAAACATTTGAATAATAAAGTTTTTATTTAAACAATTATTGTTTTGTATATATTCATTCTTTATTTGCTCATTAGGAGATTTCATGATAGATTTTAAGAAATAAGGCTAAATTGAAATTTTTCGACCTCTTGTTCGAAAATTCATGAGTGTATGTCCAATCCCCAAAATTCTTTGCATACACTAGATTTGTGGTCTAAACTATTCAATGAGAGTAGTCGGAAATAAAAAAGGGTCACTCAAATTTGATAGTTTGTCATAAAAGATCAACCCTGACACTTTTCTTTTTCATTGTTTTGTCCACTTCTATTGAACCTCCAAAGTCAGTCGCATTGGTTGACTAGCTTCAAAGTGAGGCAATTTTTACTATAAAAATATCCAGTGTGTCTAACCAGATTCAATCCACGCCTGAGTGAAAGCAAAAATGTACATTACTTCTTATTTGTTTTGGAAATTTGGAATGATACTTTAGGCTTTCGTTTTTCTATCTATACAGATTTTATCATTTGTTTTCCCATTTGAAACTTCAAAAAATAGAATTTCGTTTCAAATAAAAGCCTCAATGATCATGACCCTCCATGAAAAAATTTTCGAATGTCAAATGGAAATGAATTTTCCCAACGGGTTATTCTTTACTTTGGTTGTCATGAGAAATAATAATGATGCTTTGGCCATCGTTTCTACCATCTAAACACTTTTTTCCTTTGCATCCTCATTTGAGCCTAAATTGGTGGTTCGTTTCAAAAGCACTTATGATTGCACCCTCACACTGGGGAAGGAGATTTTAAAAAAAAAAAAGAAGAAAGGAGAAAATGCTACAAGTTGGGGGAATTTGACTCTACCATTGATATTTGGTCTTCAATATCAAAAAGAAAGAGGGGCCATCTACACTCCAAATTAGGGAGTTTTCAATTTTATCATTGACATTGGGATATCAGTATTGGTAAAAAAAACAAATTTTTTTAAAAAAAAAAAAGAAAGAAGAGAAAAGAAAAATGTGAAAAAATGAAAAATGATGAAAGAAAAAAAAAAGAAAAATGCGAAGACATCCAATGCTGCATTCCCCTTAGTGATTGTTGAAGAAGAAAGAGGATTGATAAGAAAAAGGGAGTCAAAATGGGATTCCGGATTTTAAGTCCAAAACTGTGGCAATTTTTGGGAAGAAATACGATTTTAAGTGCATTGTCCTTGAAAGTTTTTTTTTCTAGCTAGCGTTGTTAAACTACATTACAAGCTCATAAAGTCCATTGCTGACTTATCTTTCATGACAATTTGAAGTGAAAATCTTGCCTCTAAGGAATCTACCAATCACTCATGATCAGAAGGCCATAACCTGTTTTTATATGTTTAGCTATCGTTTCTACCCATGTATTACAAGCCTATATAGCTTATATGTTGACTGAGTTTTCTCAAGAAATAAGAGTGATAAACTATTTGCTTTCACCAAGATGTGATATTGAATGCGTTAGATACAATCTGGGCACAAAAACAAGACAGATCCTGATCTATCATTTTTCCCAAAGCCACCTCAAAATTAGGAATAATACTCGTTTGTTCGATCCTAAAGGATGAGCTAATAAGAAAAGTGACCATTTTCCCTCAACACGATTCCAAAACGAGGAAGAGATCTTTTACAATTTGGTCTTATTTCGAGAGATTTATCATGGAATCTTTTATATGAGTTTGGATATGACATTTAAATTCTTCATTTGAAAAATATAGTTTCTATTCACATTGTAAGTGATTATTTTGCAACTAAAATAAACCCAAATTGGGGCAAATTTTTTTTTTTGTAATATATTTGTGAGATTTCACCAAATAAGTTCAAATTGAGACAAAATTTTATAACACATTTGTAGGGTATGTCCAAGATCAAGTACATATTTTTCAAATTTTGATAATTCAACACTTTGCATGAGTCTTAATTGTTATATCATTGCTCAAAAAAAAAAGAGAATTTTGAAAATTCAAGTGCTTTGAAAAATCTCCCTTATGCAGGTGTATGGTTGAGTTCGTGGAAAAGACGTAAGTGAAAATCTTGCAAAATTTGAAGGGTAATCATGAATAAAAAGGGGGAAATAATACTACATTGCAAAGTGGAGAATCGGCTATTTATTCAAAAGGAGTACATACTTCAGCAATCAAGTTGAAAAAAAAAAGAATAAAAAGAAGAAAAGAAAAAGAGGAAAGAAAAAAAAGAAAAAAATGAGAGAGGAAAAAAATGAAAAGAAAAAGAAAGAGAAAAGAAAAAGGGGGAATAAAAAAAAAGAGAGAAAAGAAAAAAGGGAGAGGAAAAAAAAAGTGAAAAAA